TAACAAATTTTCATAACCAACATATACAACAATACACACCACACTCACACAGCGCAGGGTCTGCGCCCACAGTGCACTGCAGCACTGCGGCGCAGACCATGCCAAACCTATGCTATCGCTCTCTTCCGGGCGTGTTAATTATTTATTTTTATCGAATCAAAGTGAGCTGTGGCTTTTTGCCGGCTGTTTTATTTTCATCGAATCAGAGCGAGCTGTTTGGGCGGGTCCGTAAATAAATTAACGTCCAGATACGCACGCAGACGACCAAACCAGCGTAGTTGTTTATGATATGCGTGGCAGCGAACTTAATATAAAGGATTTAAAAATATATTCGCCTGTGGAGGACGCGGGGATCGATCCCGCAACCTTTGGCATGGGAAGCGAGGGCGCTACCAACTGCGCTACTCTGCCACGGCCTGTGGAGGGGTTACGCTCTGAGCTCTTACACTCTGACATTCAGCCAAAGCCAAGAATGAGTTCTTTTGAATATATGTAAAATATTTTTTTTTTGCCTAAAAAGTGTAAAATTTTGGGAATTTTTTTTCACGAACAATAATTGTCTGGCACAACGAGTCTGTGTGGAAAATGCCAGCTCGATTGGATCACGGGAAGTGGGTTAAAAAACGACCGAAAGATTTGCACGGTCGTAAGCAAGCAAGCGAACTTAATATAAAGGATTTTAAAAAATAGCATATCAATGAGTGGACGACAAACGTGATGCTGCAAGTGCGATGACACGGCAAGCAATCTATTTTGTGTTGTTTAGGTTGTTTTACGTTCTAATAATATTCAAAAATGTGTGGGGGGTGCGGGGGGGGGGGTGGAGACAGCACGGAAACCACCACGAAATCCAGGTGGGATTCTGGAGCGCGATTGTGACGGAGTTACGTGTTGCGTGTCGGGAAGGAGGTTCTAGATTTGAAGCTTTCGTGACTGCAATGATTCATATCCTTAGGTTTTTTCGGTAAAGTCACCGTGTAGGTAAAAACATTAAAAAGTAAAATAAAATAAAAATCACGACGTTTCGGAGGCAACACAAGCATCCGTCTTCAGGTGGAACCGTCACAGCCACGACAGCCGTATCAAGTACATATAGCTGTATCAAATAAATGAGAGATTGCAAGAGCTACCACTCCGTTTATATAACTGTAATAAAAGGACTCAGACACTTCTTGCTGACTCCGTGTCCTTTATTTGGGGTTCGCGTTCTCCTTCCCACACGGCACTCCTCCTGAGACTCTCTCCCTGGCAGCCCCACATCTGCCTTCGCTCCCGTAGCCTTCCACGCTCCTGCAGCTCCGCTGCAGGCTCTTGGTACAGCCCTCTGGCTGCTCCCCCAGCAGCTCCATCTCTGCTCCCTGTTCCTCCGTGCGTGGCGATCTCGCCACCTCCCAATGTCAGCCCTTCGTGGCCTCTATGGCTATCTCGCCATTTCCTACCTCAGCCCTTCGTGGCCTCTGTGGCTATCTCGCCATTTCCTACCTCAGCCCTTCGTGGCCTCTGTGGCTATCTCGCCATTTCCTACCTCAGCCCTTCGTGGCCTCTGTGGCTATCTCGCCACTTCCTACCTCAATCCTCCACTCTCTCTTCCACCCCGCTGGCTGGCGCCGTCATGAGCCCCTCAGCCACCAGGCTGAGGCACGGCGACCACCCAACGTGTTCACCACCCTTCACTCCCCCGACTCCCCAGATAGCTTCCTGTCTCCCCGCTATAACTTCTCCCCCACGTCACCCTGACTCCTCCCTCTCGGATCGTCATATCCGCCCCGCCCATTTACGCCCGCATTACATAACCATTATATATCCGTTTATATAACCATTATATAAACGGAGTGGTAGCTCCTGCAATCTCTCATTCACTTGATACGGCTGTCGTGGCTGTGACGGTTCCACCTGAAGACGGAAGCTTGTGTTGCCTCCGAAACGTCGTGATTTTTATTTTATTTTACTTTTTAATGTTTTTACCTATGTGAAAAAAACCTAAGAATACAGAAAGGGCATCTCGCACCCACAGGCACTGCAGCGTGATGCACCCCAGGTTATGAAGAACAGCCGCTAATTTTTAGAGCCTGAAACCTGCATCAGGATTTGCGTCGTGTTCATAGGTACCGTTTGATTATAATTTTTATCGGGGAGGTTGGGGGGGTAGTGGCAGGCGGTTTGTGTAATAATTTCATAAGCATGCACGCGGTGGCATATTTTGCATCGCTCTCTATCAGTGGCGGCTCCTGCAAAATCTCTCAGGGGGGGCAAATGTCTGGATGATTGATAAGGATAAGGTCCACCGATGCAATGGATAAATTAACAGCTTAAGCATGTAAAGGCAACTTCACTTCTTTAATATTAATGCAAATAAAGTGACTCTTACAATACATCTTGTTTGTTTCTATACTCACTATTATTACAATCCACTCAAGTTTATTTTATTAAAGATTCCACTAGGTGGCGACAAATTATATTGTTAGATGAAACGTGCTTACGTATGATGACGTAAGCACGTTAGGGCGAGCCCTCCCGGAAGCCGTAGAGAATGCATTGCAGCGCCCGCCGTTCGAAAAAAAACATCTTTGAATGTAAGTCTATGGGAACACTCGGGGCGATTCTCAGCCGGAGTGAAATCGCCCAAAAAGAGGCGGTACTCCACAGAACGTGACATGACGCCGATTGGACTATATCCAGAGGCTGCAGTGACGGCTCGCGTCACTCTGTGGTTGAATGACATTGGTGGTGCGTCGCCCAATCGCCCTAATGAAGAAACCGTCCCTGCTCTCTACATGCCCCCCCCCTCAGCTTTTTTGACACGGTCGACCACCCCTACTCTTGTCTCTCTCTCCGTCTCGGCATTTTGGGCACCCAACTTTCTTGGCTGCAGTCCCGATCTCTCTCGTGCGCATCTCTGCCGTCTCGTTCGGTCACCGCCACTTCCCCCGCCCCTCCTCCTTGCAGCCCTCTTGACTGTCGCTGTTTCTCCAAGGGGCTCCGCTTGCCCCCCCCCCCCCCCTATTTGTCTCAGCTCTGTTGCTCTTTTAAATCCGTTATATTAAGTTCACTTGCTTGCTTAGGACCGTGCAAATATTTCGGTCGTTTTTTAACCCACTTCCCGTGATCCAATCGAGCTGACATTTTGCACACAGACTCGTTGTGACAGACAATTAATGTTCGTGAAATTTTTTTTTTCCAAAATTTACACTGTTTAGGGAATTTTTTTTATATTTAATTACCAATTGCTTAATACTGGCAGACAATCATCTGACCCATAGGTGGCAGCCATCTCAAGCCAGAGGACGAGAGGACTCTAGCCGCCACGCATATAAAGGATTTAGAGTGAAAAACTTTGTTTCTACGGGTTAATTTTTTTAATCCTTTATATGAAGTTCACTTGCTTGCTTGCGCGCTTACGACCGTACGGGGAGGGTGGGGGGGGTGACGTCATCAGGCACACTGCGTGACGCTGCCGCATGCGGGTGACATCACCGATGTGACGTCACCGATGTGACGTCACTAATGTGACCAAGAAGAAGGCGGTGACGTCACTAATGTGACCAAGAAGAAGGCGGTGACGTCACTAATGTGACGTCACCGCTCACTTGCCGTGCAAAATATATCCATTATTGCGCCCCCCCGCCCCCCCAAAAATACAAAAGTCTATTTTTATACTTTTTGCATTGTGTACAGTCTGGAAGCTATCCACGTGCCAAATGTCAAGTTTGATGCATGTTGGGAAGTATGCTAAACATCTTCTTGGTTCTTTAGGTAAAGTCACGTAGAAGGGAAGTAATAAAATAATAAAAATAAAACATAATAAAATAAAATAATTCTCAGAATTATTTGATTTTATTATGTTTTATTTTTATTATTTTATTATAAAACATAATAAAATCAAATAATTCTGAGAATTATTATTATGTTGCATTTTTATTATTTTATTACTTCGCTTCTACGTGACTTTACCGAAAGAACCAAGATGATGAATCCCTGCAGTCACGAAAAAAGCTTTAAATCGAAGTATGCTAAACATTTCGGACACATTCACAAATTTCCCTTTTATTTAAAAACATGAATGCAGCGCTCTAGCAAGCATCCACCTGTTGTACACCTTCTTCTTGGTTCTTTCGTTAAAGTCACGTAGAAGGGAAGTAATAAAATAATAAAAATAAAACATAATAAAATAATCTTCTTGGTTCTTTCGTTAAAGTCACGTAGAATGGAAGTAATAAAATAATAAAAATAAAACATAATAAAATAATCTTCTTGGTTCTTTCGTTAAAGTCACGTAGAATGGAAGTAATAAAATAATAAAAATAAAACATAATAAAATAATCTTCTTGGTTCTTTCGTTAAAGTCACGTAGAATGGAAGTAATAAAATAATAAAAATAAAACATAATAAAATAATTATGTTTTATTTTTATTCTACGTGATGACTTTACCGAAAGAACCAAGAAGATGAATCCCTGCAGTCACGAAATAAGCTTTAAATCGAACTGTTCTACACCGTGTCCATGTGTAGTAGTGGCACCGCAGCAGTTACCCTGCAATCTGGTCATTCGTACGGGCTCAGGGTACAAGGGTTAAAGGTCGACTCGTTTGCTTTTGACCTTTAACCTTGCCGAGGGAAAGGGGAGGGGCGTTCAGAGCGGAGGGGGTTGGGGGGTGAATCCACCGGAACCCCGCCCCTCGCCCCGTGACGTCACGGCGCGAGGGGCGGGGCTTTGTGGGGGGTGAATCCACCGGAACCCCGCCCCTCGCCCCGTGACGTCACGGCGCGAGATGAAGAAGCAATGGCGGCCGCGTTGTTGATGTCTCGCTCTGCGCTGTTGTCGTTGTTGCTGTTGTTGTTGATGATGATGATGGAGGTCGCCACGGGCGGTGAGTCGGCGTCTGTCTGGTGACATCTTATTTTTTTTGTGTGACGTGTTTGTTCCGTTGCCAAGTGCACCTAGCCTGGCACGAGCGCTGTTGTTGCTGTTGTTGTTGCTGTTGTTGATGTTGTTGTTGATGATGGAGGTCGCCACGGGCGGTGAGTCGGCGTCTGTCTGGTGACTCGTGACATCTTATTCTTTGTTTTTGTGTGACGTGTTTGTGTGACGTGTTTGTTCCGTTGCCAAGTGCACCTAGCCTGGCACGAGCGCTGTTGGTAACGGTGGTGGGGGGGGGGGCGGTGCGGATCTGTTGTGAGGGGGGTTCGATGTCTCAAAGTGAACCTAGCCTGGCACACGAGCTGCTGCGGTGACGGGGAGCGGTGGTGCAGTGGTTAGCGCCTGGGTATGGGTCTCTGTGTGAGTCTGTGGGTCTCTGTGTGAGTCTGTGAGTCTCTGTGTGAGTCTATGGGTCTCTGTGTGAGTCTGTGGGTCTCTGTGAGTCTGTGGGTCTCTGTGTGAGTCTGTGGGTCTCTGTGTGAGTCTGTGGGTCTCTTTGTGAATATATGGGTCTCTGTGTGAGTATATGGGTCACTGTGTGAGTCTATGGGTCTCTGTGTGAGTCTATGGGTCTCTGTGTGAGTCTGTGGGTCTCTGTGTGAGTCTGTGGGTCTCTGTGTGAGTCTGTGGGTCTCTGTGTGAGTCTGTGGGTCTCTGTGTGAGTCTATGGGTCTCTGTGTGAGTGTGTGGGTCTCTGTGTGAGTCTACGGGTATCTGTGTGAGTCTGTGGGTCTCTATGTGAGTCTATGGGTCTCTGTGTGAGTCTATGGGTCTCTGTGTGAGTATATGGGTCTCTGTGTGAGTCTATGGGTCTCTGTGTGAGTCTATGGGTCTCTGTGTGAGTATGTGGGTCACTGTGTGAGTCTGTGGGTCTCTGTGTGAGTCTATGGGTCTCTGTGTGAGTATATGGGTCACTGTGTGAGTCTGTGGGTCTCTGAGTATATGGGTCACTGTGTGAGTATATGGGTCACTGTGTGAGTATATGGGTCTCTGTGTGAGTCTATGGGTCTCTGTGTGAGTATATGGGTCTCTGTGTGAGTCTGTGGGTATATGTGTGAGTCTGTGGGTCTCTGAGTCTATGGGTCTCTGTGTGAGTATGTGGGTCTCTGTGTGAGTCTATGGGTCTCTGTGTGAGTCTGTGGGTCTCTGTGTGAGTCTATGGGTATCTGTGTGAGTCTGTGGGTCTCTGTGTGAGTCTGTGGGTCTCTGTGTGAGTCTACGGGTCACTGTGTGAGTCTATGCTTCTCTGAGTGAGTCAATGGGTACATGTGTGAGTCTAGGGGTCTCTGTGTGAGTCTGTGGGTCTCTGTGTGAGTTTACGGGTTTCTGTGTGAGTCTACGGGTCACTGTGTGAGTCTATGCTTCTCTGAGTGAGTCAATGGGTACATGTGTGAGTCTAGGGGTCTCTGTGTGAGTCTGTGGGTCTCTGTGTGAGTTTACGGGTCTCTGTGTGAGTCTACGGGTCTCTGTGTGAGTCTATGCTTCTCTGAGTGAGTCTATGGGTACATGTGTGAGTCTAGGGGTCACTGTGTGAGTCTATGCCTCTCTGAGTGAGCCTGTGCGGGTAAATCTACCACAACTCCGACGTGTTTGTGGCGCTAACAGAGAAACACAAAAACATTTACGTGACTCTTGAAGACATTACTTCACAACCGTGTCACCACCACCCCCCCCTCCCCTTGGCAGCCGTCTCGTGGGTAGAGAAAGCGGAGGGCGAGACGGTGCTGCTGGGCTGCACCTGGACGGTCGATCCGGCGCCCACTGAACACCTGGACGTGGAGTGGTTCATGCAGATGCCCACCACCAACATCCATGTGAGTGAGAGAGAGAGAGACAGAGAACCCATCGCACACGCAGAGAATGCGCTGAGCTGCTTGTGTCACTGCTGGATGAAAGCCGCCGCCGCCACCGCCGCCACCACCGCCACCGCTACCATCACCACCGCCGCCACCGCCGCCACCGCCACCACCGCCACCACCACCACCGCCGCCACCACCGCCACCACCACCACCGCCGCCATCACCGCCACCACCGCCACCGCCATCACCACCATCACCGCCACCACCGCCGCCACCACCACCACCACCACCGCCACCGCTGCCACCGCCGCCACCACCACCGCCGCCACCGCCGCCACCGCCACCACCGCCGCCACCACCACCGCCACCACCACCGCCGCCACCACCACCACCACCACCACCACCGCCGCCATCACCGCCACCACCGTCACCGCCATCACCACCATCACCACCACCACCACCGCCACCACCACCACCACCTCTCTCAATCGTGCAGTGCGACCACAACGACAACAACAACAACGACGACCCGTTCCGCACCTTGACGACACAAAGTCTCGCGGCTCCGTCTCCGCGCTGGACGCGTTCTCTCTCTCTCTCTCGGACACGTCGTGCAAATCTTTCGGTCGTTTTTTAACCCACTTCCCGTGATCCAATCGAGCTGACATTTTGCTACACAGACTTGTTGTGTGTGACAATTAATTTTCGTGAAAAATGTTTCAAAAATTTTACACTGTTTAGGGAAAACAAATTAATATTTAATTACCAATTGCTTAATGGTGGCAGACAATCACCTGACCCATAGGTGGCAGCCATCTCAAGCCAGAGGACGAGAGGACTCTAGCCGATGCCACGCATATAAAGGATTTATAGTGAACAACTTTGTGTTTACGGGTTATACTTGTTGTCCGTCCCCCTATCCCCAGTTGGCCACGTACGTCAGGGGCGTGGAGCACGTCTACCCGGAGTACGCGTCCCGCATGCGCTTCGCCCGCAACGTGACGCAGCGGGACGCGTCGCTGAAGATCGTCGGGGTGCAGACGCGAGACTACGGCTTCTACACGTGCAAAGTCAAGTTCGGCGCTTTCATCCAGCAGGTGTCCGTCAAGCTCATCGTGCTGGGTGACGAGCGCACGCACACACACGCACGCACGTACACACGCGCACGCACGTACACACGCGCACGCACGCACGTGCACGCACGTACACGTACACGCACGTACACGCACGCACGTACACGCACGCACGTACACGCACGCGCACCCACGTGCACGCACGCACGCGCACGCACGCACGTACACGCACGTACGTACACGCACGCACGTACACGCACGCACGTACACGCACGCACACACGCGCACGCACGTACACGCACGTACACGCACGCACACGCACGCGCACGCACACGCACGTACACGCACGCACACACGCGCACGCACGTACACGCGCACGCACATGCACGCACGCACGTACACGCACGCACGTGCACGCACGCACGTACACGCACGTACGCGCACGCACGTACACGCACGCACACGCACGTACACGCACGCACACACGCGCACGCACGCACACGCACGCACACGCACGCACGTACACGCACGCGCACGCACGCACACGCACACACGCACACGCACGTGCACGCACGTACACGCACGTACACGCACGCACGCACACGCACGCACGCACACGCACGTACACGCACGCACACGCACGTACACGCACGTGCACGCACGTACACGCACGTACACGCACGTACACGCACGCACGTACACGCACGTACACGTACGCACACGCACGCACGTGCACGCACGTATACGTGCGTGCACGCACGCACGTATACGTGCGTGCACGCACGCACGTACACGCACGTACACGTACGCGCGTACACGCACGTACACGCACGCACGTACACGCACGTACACGCACGCACGTACACGCACGCGCACGTACGTGCACGCACGTACACGCACGCACACGCACGTACACGCACGCACGTACACGCACGTACACGCACGCACGTACACGCACGCACGTACACGCACGTACACGCACGCACGTACACGCACGTACACGCACGCACGTACACGCACGTACACGCACGCACGTACACGCACGCACGTACACGCACGTACACGCACGGACGTACACGCACGCACGTACACGCACGTACACGCACGCACGTACACGTACGCACGCAGACACACGTGCACGCACGCACGTACACGCACGCATGTATACGCACGCACGTACACGTACGCACGCACACACACGTGCACGCACGTACACGCACGCACGTACACGCACGCACGTACACGCACGCACGTACACGTACGCACGCAGACACACGTGCACGCACGTACATGCACGCATGTATACGCACGCACGTACACGTACGCACGCACGCACACGCACCTACACGCACGTACACACGCACGCGCACGTACACGCACGTACACGCATGTATACGCACGTACACGTACACGCACGTACACGCACGTACACGCACGTACACGCATGTATACGCACGTACACGTACACGCACGTACACGCACGTACACGCACGTACACGCATGTATACGCACGTACACGCACGTACACGCATGTATACGCACGTACACGTACACGCACGTACACGCACGTACACGCACGCACACGTACGCACACGCACGCACACGCACGCACACGCACGCACGTACACGCACGCACACGCACGTACACGCACGTGCACGCACGTACACGCACGTACACGCACGTACACGCACGCACGTACACGCACGTACACGTACGCGCGTACACGCACGTACACGCACGCACGTACACACACGTACACGCACGCACGTACACGCACGCGCACGTACGTACACGCACGTACACGCACGCACACGCACGTACACGCACGCACGTACACGCACGTACACGCACGCACGTACACGCACGTACGTACACGCACGTACACGCACGTACACGCACGCACGTACACGCACGTACACGCACGCACGTACACGCACGTACACGCACGCACGTACACGCACGCACGTACACGCACGTACACGCACGCACGTACACGCACATACACGCACGCACGTACACGTACGCACGCAGACACACGTGCACGCACGCACGTACACGCACGCATGTATACGCACGCACGTACACGTACGCACGCAGACACACGTGCACGCACGTACACGCACGCACGTACACGCACGCACGTACACGTACGCACGCAGACACACGTGCACGCACGTACATGCACGCATGTATACGCACGCACGTACACGTACGCACGCAGACACACGTGCACGCACGTACATGCACGCATGTATACGCACGCACGTACACGTACGCACGCACGCACACGCACCTACACGCACGTACACACGCACCCGCACGTACACGCACGTACACGCATGTATACGCACGTACACGTACACGCACGTACACGCACGTACACGCACGTACACGCATGTATACGCACGTACACGTACACGCACGTACACGCACGTACACGCACGTACACGCATGTATACGCACGTACACGTACACGCACGTACACGCACGTACACGCACGTACACGCATGTATACGCACGTACACGCACGTACACGCATGTATACGCACGTACACGTACACGCACGCACACGCACGTGCACGCACGTACACGCACGTACACGCACGTACACGCACGCACGTACACGCACGTACACGTACGCACACGCACGCACGTGCACGCACGTATACGTGCGTGCACGCACGCACGTACACGCACGTACACGCACGCACGTACACGCACGTACACGCACGCACGTACACGCACGCGCACGTACGTGCACGCACGTACACGCACGCACACGCACGTACACGCACGCACGTACACGCACGTACACGCACGCACGTACACGCACGCACGCACACGCACGCACGTACACGCACGTACACGCACGCACGTACACGCACGTACACGCACGCACGTACACGCACGCACGCACACGCACGCACACGCACGCACACGCACGCGCACGCACGCGCACGTGCACGCACGTGCACGCACGTACACGCACGTACACGCACGTACACGCACGCACGTACACGCACGTACACGTACGCACACGCACGCACGTGCACGCACGTATACGTGCGTGCACGCACGCACGTACACGCACGTACACGTACGCGCGTACACGCACGTACACGCACGCACGTACACGCACGTACACGCACGCACGTACACGCACGCGCACGTACGTGCACGCACGTACACGCACGCACACGCACGTACACGCACGCACGTACACGCACGTACACGCACGCACGTACACGCACGCACGTACACGCACGTACACGCACGCACGTACACGCACGCACGTACACGCACGTACACGCACGCACGTACACGCACGCACGTACACGCACGGACGTAACGCACGCACGTACACGCACGTACACGCACGCACGTACACGTACGCACGCCAGACACACGTGCACGCACGCACGTACACGCACGCATGTATACGCACGCACGTACACGTACGCACGCAGACACACGTGCACGCACGTACACGCACGCACGTACACGCACGCACGTACACGCACGCACGTACACGTACGCACGCAGACACACGTGCACGCACGTACATGCACGCATGTATACGCACGCACGTACACGTACGCACGCACGCACACGCACCTACACGCACGTACACACGCACGCGCACGTACACGCACGTACACGCATGTATACGCACGTACACGTACACGCACGTACACGCACGTACACGCACGTACACGCATGTATACGCACGTACACGTACACGCACGTACACGCACGTACACGCACGTACACGCATGTATACGCACGTACACGCACGTACACGCATGTATACGCACGTACACGTACACGCACGTACACGCACGTACACGCACGTACACGCACGCACACGTACGCACACGCACGCACACGCACGCACGTACACGCACGCACACGCACGTACACGCACGTGCACGCACGTACACGCACGTACACGCACGCACGTACACGCACGCGCACGTACGTACACGCACGTACACGCACGCACACGCACGTACACGCACGCACGTACACGCACGTACACGCACGCACGTACACGCACGTACGTACACGCACGTACACGCACGTACACGCACGTACACGCACGTACACGCACGCACGTACACGCACGTACACGCACGCACGTACACGCACGCACGTACACGCACGTACACGCACGCACGTACACGCACATACACGCACGCACGTACACGTACGCACGCAGACACACGTGCACGCACGCACGTACACGCACGCATGTATACGCACGCACGTACACGTACGCACACAGACACACGTGCACGCACGTACACGCACGCACGTACACGCACGCACGTACACGTACGCACGCAGACACACGTGCACGCACGTACATGCACGCATGTATACGCACGCACGTACACGTACGCACGCAGACACACGTGCACGCACGTACATGCACGCATGTATACGCACGCACGTACACGTACGCACGCACGCACACGCACCTACACGCACGTACACACGCACGCGCACGTACACGCACGTACACGCATGTATACGCACGTACACGTACACGCACGTACACGCACGTACACGCATGTATACGCACGTACACGTACACGCACGTACACGCACGTACACGCACGTACACGCATGTATACGCACGTACACGTACACGCACGTACACGCACGTACACGCATGTATATGCACGTACACGCACGTACACGCATGTATACGCACGTACACGTACACGCACGTACACGCACGTACACGCACGTACACGCACGCACGCACGTACACGCACGTACACGCACGCACGTGCACGCACGTACACGCACGTACACGCACGCACGTACACGCACGCACGTGCACGCACGTACACGCACGCACGTACACGTACGCACGCAGACACACGTGCACGCACGCACGTACACGCACGCATGTATACGCACGCACGTACACGTACGCACGCACACGCACGTACACGCACGTACACACGCGCGCGCACGTACACGCACGTACACGCATGTATACGCACGTACACGTACACGCACGTACACGCACGTACACG